AATATTTCTGAGAGAGAGTCTACTTTGTGGCGATTCTTTGTCCTAAGAATTCTTTACCTTTGAAGTATAGTATTTTGTTTTTTAGTATTGTGTGCATGTATTGTATACTCTCTTTTTTTGGAGTTCACAGACTCTCTTTTTTGATTGTTGCAACATGTTTAATTCTTATGTAGTGGTGATGATGTGGGAGTGTGAGGAGCTGTATATAGTCCTTATTTATTTTAAATATTGTCCTCATTCATTTCTGTAATCTTTATTATGTTGCACATTGTCCTTATTTATTTTGGTAATAACCATGGTTTCTTACTGATCCTGTGACTCAATTATTTTAATGCATGTTATATATTAGTGTATATTTCCTACTAAACATATATTATAAAACTCTATTAATATACGTCTTCAACATATTAAACATGTTTTGGATATAAGAAACACAAAATTATTCAAATAGACTCATGATTCTGTGAGTTTTTATGAGCAAAAATTTATAATTTTACGTGTGATATAGTGCAGAATATCAAAAACAAGGATGTGCAAGTTGTCAAAATATAAAATCTTTAAATGAAAGGGAAATACTTTTTTTGAGGACTTAAATACATTTGGAGAAGATGATTTTACTGGTTGAAATCTGAATAACTAAATACTGAAAATTTATAAAACATCTTAAATTGTTTAACCCTTTCAATCCCAATTTATTTGTTTCAACTGACTTGATTTTTTTTATGCCTTCTTGGTAATTATCACAAATGACACAAATTACACTAACAGAAATTGACAGTCTGTCACTAAGCCTCTATAAGAAGATGCGCGCAACAATTTTGTAATGGGGATGTTAAAAATGATGCCTGCTACCAGTGGGACATCAACTATGTAGTAAATTAATGCGTTTAATTCTCTCTAGGTTTCTTTAAACATCTACTGGGACTTAACCCATTGGGACTGAAAGGGTTAAGGGAGAGACTTAAATGCTGTATTTCACCGCACTTAAAATTTTCAGAATATTGATTTATGAGTTTTTTACAAAAGTTCATTTTTTAATAAATGATTACATTTCATATTCAGTTATTCATAAAATGAAATTTTTTCTTTCATTAATAGTGGTAGTATATATTTGTTTCGAAAGAGAAGTGAGAATTAGGATTTGCCTGGGAATTGTAGCAATCTGTATGCAAGATGAAAGCAATTAAGAACTTTTCGGGAAACTAACGCTTGAAGGTCTTAGTTTTGAGTATTGAGTTGAAAAACAAGCTAAGTGGCTGAACTCAGGGGAGGGCGGATGAATTACAGCTATTTATACTATTGGGGAGAGTCAACCATTAGTTAACATCCGTGAGAACGGGTGTTTCGTTCAAGCCTTACTCCAGGGTCCTGTCCCCTCTGGCCGCTGAAGGCTATTTGGTTAATAAAAGACAGCTGAAAATTTCGGTCATTACTGATGATGGTCCATGTACAGACAGAAATAGCATTTCTTAACTTCTTAGTATTTGTGTGTTTTACATCTACCATGCAGTTTAAAAAGAGAACCCAGAAAAGTTTAGAGTTCAAACGTGTTTAGATCGCCCTTCCTTGTTTGTTTTTGAAAAAAGGCCCTTTGCCTCTTTTGCATATAAGTATTCATACATACAGATTTATTTAATTAATATATAATTTCATCAATGAATTATATTAAAAATATAGATTTAATTAACATTTTTTCTTTCTTTTTTGGCCTAAAGTTCAACGATACGAATAATGAATAATCCAAAATTTTAAACTTTTTCCAATAAAATTACATATCTACGTAGTTCGATTAAGGAGGCGAAACTCTACGATTATACGTATGATAAAAACATCATAAATTCAAACTTTGTCGCTGAGAATGGAAAATATTTAAAATCTGAGGAACAAGATTTTCCAAAATTAAATAATTTTTTTAATTATATAAACTTTAAGCAGTGTCTTTTCAGAACTGTGCATTATGCATTTATTTATTTTTTTTAAAATTTCTTTATTATTAAATACTTCTTCAGACCAATAAGAGAAATATACAAATTTTCCCGAAATATGTTTTAATCTGTCAAAACAACTTTAAAAATTTGGTGTCCGGTCTTTAAACACAAAAATTATAAAATTTCCTTTTACGATTTAATGTATTTAAGGAATAAAACTTTAGTTTATGTAAATAATGAGAATAATAATATAAATACGAAGAAATGAAAAAAAAAATATAAGTGCTTTACAAGTAAATGAAATTGGTATAATGCTTTTAAAAGTACTGTGGTTTTTTTTTTTTTTCCAGTTCCGCTTTCCGAAATGTTTCATTAATTCCCCTTTCTTCCGATTGCTCAACAAACGCCCACACGACTGTCTTTCTTTATGTCTCGTGTTCACAACGTCTGTTCCTGTACGATTAAATCTACATAATAACAGGACCGAGTAATTCTAAATTAAAATGTAATCTTAATTATCTAATTAATCTTAATTCTAAATTAAAATGTAATCTTAATTATCTAATTAATCTTAATTCTAAATTAAAATGTAATCTTTAAAAAAAATTATACAAAATAAAATTTAGAATTGTACACAGCCCCTTAAAGAATAAAATATCATATATTTCACATCTACGGCCTAGAAACAGCATCTACAGCTTTACGGACTGGGAATATCATTTTACGGATTATTATTAACTAGGAGTATGATATACGGCTTTACTAATTGGGAATATGATTTGGCCTTTACGACGAACTGTTAAAAAAATAATCGACGTAACGTCTACATTGATAAGCATAATGCACAATGTTCCAAAGACCTAGTTTAAATTTATATGTGATTATCCACATAACACAATCGTATGATTAATTCTATTCACTTTAAGTATCTTTTATAGAATATTTCACATTTAGTACATTTGTATAACATATTTCATTAAATGTAAGGCAACTTTCTTATGTAAAAGCTAAATAATGTTCATTAATTTTAAAAGTTATATAAACTTGTGGTGATATTTATGATATGACACTAAATAGTTTGCTATAAGATTTGGAAAAATAAGAAAATAGCCATACATTTTCTAGAAACATTTAATTTTTTCTGGAAACATGTTTACTGGAACATTTTTTCCAGGATAATTTTTCAGGGACATTTTTTTTAACACCGTGCGTAATAACACTGCGTAATAACAGTACCGTGTGCAATAAATTTTCGTAATGATAATTTTTTATGAAATAATACAGTTGTCCATTTATCCGCACTTCCTGTTATCTGAGGTAATCCACATTACCTTAAATGATTGAATTCCACACATATGATAAGAAAACCTAATTAAACAAAACTTAATTAAAAGACTTAATTACTAAAAAACCTACATAAAATATTTATCAGGACAGAGAATAATGCATATTAATTAATTTTCAGGTTTAAATAACACTGTCTTTCATGTTATTTTTTCCCGTGCAATTCCCGTCTGAGTTATTTATTCTAGCTGAGTACTTCTTTCTCTTCATCATTGTCTCGGTCCTGTTATTATGTAAGAAGTATTTAAATTCTTTATAAAAATGCACTAAAAAAAAAAATTGTTAGCAAATAAACGCATTGCACAATTTACATACTACATTTACATATAAATATATATGTAAACAACATGTCTAGAATTTAATTGCACACTTTCGACACGTACATTTCGTTTCCATAAAGAGTGTAATCTCTTATCATATGTTTCTATGTTTACACAATAGGCTAGGTTGTTTAAATATGGCAAGGCACACAAAGGCTATCAAGCTTAGAGAAAGGATGCCTGCGATGAGGGCTTTCTCGATACCAACCACGAAGCCAGCCTCTTTGCCTGAAATGGCACTGCGTTCAAACTCCTAGCATTCAGCGATTTTAACCATTCGACCACTAATAGGGGTCATGATTACAGTAAGATTAAAGATTATAATTTATAAATTCGAATGCTTTGCGAAACGTTTGTTCATATAAAATTAAATGTGAAACAAAAACAAAAAGATTCAATAAAAAATGAAAATGCGTCAAAAAACGTGCAGAGTGACTTTTAGATTTAAAGCTCATAGCTCATTTCTGATTTTCCTGGTAGACTCAATCTTAAGTTTCTCAAGTAAATGGTTTTCTTATAGTCTTATAGTATGATAGTGGCTGTGATCTACATGCATCTGGTACTCGCTGCTCGACAATACGTGGATAAATATCGATAGAGACCTCGAGATACGTAATTAATAAAGTACTTCTGATAAAACTCAACATTCAGATCATTACAATAGACCAGTTGTACAAAAAATATGACACGGAAGGCTTTTTACCACTTTACTTAGAGTATAATATGCTTATATAAGACATCTCTATAACTAAAACTTGGATGTTGGATTGCTGTATTTTTTACTCTTTTTATTTTAATTCTGCACAGATATTTTTATTCTAACTAGACTCATCTCTCTTTCTATCTTCATTTTACTTCTAATTGTTTATCATAAAATTTCAGTCTAATTATTTTAAGATTCAATTACTATCTGATATTTGATTTAAAGATCTTTTTCTTTGGGTTTATTCCGATTTCAAAACTCTGTTTACTAGCTTTTCTCAGTAAAGATGCTAATATTCGTTACCTGAAAGGAACCTCGAGTTTAATTTTTATTAAATTTTTAATCTGTTCCAGCACTATATACAAAAAACTGCTCATTAGTTTTAAACTAGCAATAATGATTCCAGATACACTAAAAATAAATCAAATTGTAAATTGCTTAGCTGACATTTTTCAGTTCACAGAAATTTTCCTGGTGTTCAACTACTAATAAACATATACTAACTGTGTTCAATAATGGAACACCTGCTTATTTTTACTTAACAAACTGTAAAACGTCATTTGAGCCTGAAGGGGAAACAGGTGGCTCCTGCCTCGAGAAAACCATTGTTTGACAATTAGGTAAATAATGTATGTCTGATGCTCCAAGTCTTAGTTGTACCTGAAACTCGGAAACTTAACTGCATTTTCTGTCAGAGAAGCCAACATGCCGTTACACTATATCATCAGCCAAAAGAACCGTAAACAACTTATGGTGAAAGGATACATCTATAATTTTGAACGTGCTAGTGCTGAGAAAAGTATTTGGAAATGTGTAGAGTATTTTACTTGTAAGTGTAAAGGGCGAATTCACACTCAAGATGATAATATCATTCTTGAAAAATCTCACGGGCATCCTCCAAATGCTGGCAAAATTACAGCGAAAGAGATTATGAGTTCAATTAAAGAGCGTGCGGTAACAACGCAAGAATCGACACATTCTTTAGCAGCAGTTGGTACAATTGGTCTTCCTTGTGCTGTTTCGGGGCATATACCACCAGTGGAAAATATTAAAAAAATTATCAGATATGCTCGACACGGAGAAATGCCATTGCATAATCCTAGATGTCTTGAAGAATTAGTAATCCCAGAACAGTTTTCAAAAACACTAAAAGAAGAGAAATTTTTGCTGTATGACAGTGGAGTGCAGACAGACAGACAGAATTCTAATTTTTTCGACCCTCAGAAATCTGGACTTCATGGCTGAATGTCCGAACTGGTTTGCTGATGGAACTTTTAAAGCAACACCACCGCTTTTCAGTCAGATTTATACAATCCATGGTGTTAAATATGATAATGTGATACCTTCAGTGTATGTATTAATGCCAAACAAACGCGAAGAAAAGAAACATACAATAGAGTGTTTACGGTGATAAAATCTTTGAAACCGAATCTGCAGCCCAAAACTGTAATGACTGATTTTGAAAAGGCTGCCATAAATGCCTTTAAAAATTCCTTTCCGAATATCATTCAGAGAGGATGTTTTTTTCATTTAAGTCAGTGTGTGTATAGAAAGATTCAGTCTGCAGGTTTGCAAAGTAAATATGAAACTGATCCGAATTTCGTTTTGGAAATCTCTCAACTTGCAGCTTTGGCTTTCGTTCCTACTTCAGATGTCATTGAAGCATTTGAACAATTAATATCATCTACTTATTTTGTAAATAATATGAACATCATTCAGCCAATCATAAATTATTTTGAAGACACATGGATTGGTAGATTTACTCGTCGTGGACAACGTCGCAGACCAGTGTTTGACATCCCTCTTTGGAACTGTTATGATGCTGTAAAAGATAAAGTTCCAAGGACAAATAATGCGGTTGAAGGATGGCATCGCAGATTCAACGAACTTATGAACGGATGCCATCCAACAATCTGGAAATTTATTGATTGCTTAAAAAAATAAATTCTATAAAAATTGAACAATACATTGCAGGTCACCATCCACCAGTAAGTAGAAAAGTTTACAGAGATACATCTCTCAGAATTCAAAAGATTGTAAATGATTATAATGATCGGCCTATTTTAGACTATTTAAGGGGAATAGCCTACAATTTTCAACTGCAGGGTGTAAATTTTTTATACATTAATTAATGAGGATGTTTAATGTCTGATATAATTATACATGTTTTTATTACTACAGCTTTAACATGAGTCGTAATTACATTATATTTTCTGAAAAATATTAGGCGAACTTTTATGCTCTTAGAGTTGATATTTACAATTATACTAGCTTTCATGAATATATGTGAATGATATTTTACTCCATATAATGTGTTTTATTTAAGCCTCTTTGGTATACACTCTTTGGTAGTATAAATCAAATTTTATTTCATCAGAGAAATTATGAACGACAAATGATGATGCCTTGTTCGTTTAAATATCATTTATTAACTGAAACGGTATGCGAAGCTAAAATTTATTGGAGATTTGGTATTAACAATAACGATATTTTTGAAAAATTCCTATCAATTAAAATTTTATTTCGTTTCATTTTTCATTAATTCATGTTTGTGTGAGAGAAATGACTTTAGAGTATTTGTTTACAGTGGATAAATTTTTAGCTTAATAAGCTATCTATATTTTAATAAAATTCAGTAAATTTAATACCATTGTGGATGCATATAAGACGAAATTTTCAATTTCTATTCCTTTCTGAAATCATCCTGATCAGGCAGCTTAATATTAAAGAATACGTTTAAGAGTATTTTTTAACTCGTAAAGCAATGGGAGATATATTTACTTAATTTTATCTCAAATACTAATAAGATTAGACTTTTAATGGCTTTTCTTGTAACTTACTTTGATATATCAAACTTATATACGTGGGCACATCTTATATGTAAGCCCCTTTTGTCTTTCTGAAAGATTCTTAAAAGACAAAACTTTTTCATATATGACACCATTATGTTTTGAGACAATACGGTATTTTATTGCGTATTTCTGTATATTTAAAAGGGGGAAAATTTGAAAACTGAGGTAAGAGATTTGCTTTTAAATCCCTAGTCATTTCAATTTTGATCAATACTGATTATATAACATAATTTTAAAAATAATTTATTATATGACAGTAATGTAAATTTAACGTTAAAAATCCTTAACAGCAGTTTTTCATTTGCTAAATATAGAATGATATATAAATGGAAGTTTTATTTGATAAATATGAAAGGTATTTTAGAGAGTTTCATGTTTTTCTGCAATGGGTAACACTATAAACATCGGTCTTTTGCTACAAAAATACATTCTCAAAATATGCTTATGGTTTTCCATGTATAGCTTATTCGCAAAATATTTATGAAGCAATATTAAATATTAGTTCTAACTTAGGCGGAAATTTCTGCTATGTTTACAGTTTTCTCGCGCTCCTAATTTTTTAAATGTATACAATGAAGTATTTATTATTTAATTAATTTTTTATAACTGCATTAATAGATGGTACATTATTTGCAAAGTTTTGACATGATATCACCTTTTTTACGAAATGAAGGAAAGTAAAATTATTGTTTATTCTTAAGCTACAAATTTTGAACAAGGCTGACATATCTACGCTAAATTTTATAATGGTGCCATAAATATTTTTCATTATTCAATAACAACTATAAATTTTTATAATTACTTAAAAATCGTAAAAGAGTGGATTATAAAGCACTGTGTTTAATAAAAATAATATAATATTAAGAATGGCAACTTTTGATTAAAATATAGATTCAAAATATTATTTCCTGACGCACTGCAAAATCTGAAAGTAACACAGTCTATTGTAAACGAATTTTTCAGGATGCACTTTTGGATATAATTTGATCTGAGAAATAAACATTAATACAAGGTGATTATGTAATTCAACAAACAATCTCTATACTGCTTCATAAAATAGATGAACTTATGATGGAAGTCTTCTTTTATAAAATACTGTGGTTTAATGTTGCAAACGAAGTTTCAGCTTAAGTTTGGAAATTAATATAGAGGGAAAGTTAAAAAGAGTCTTTCAAAACTAACAAGTTAGCATATGAATAGCATTAGGGAAGAATATAAAACACATTTCAGTATACATTCAGTATTTATTTCACAATAAGGAAACATTTTTCACTATATAAATAGCATAAGGAAATACTTTTTCAGTATATGAATGTAAAAAAAACTTTTCAGTATATATCCAGTACTTATTTCAGTATAAAAAAACCCATTTGATTATGTAAATAGCATAGGGAAAGAATTTTTCAGCATATGATTCATATATTATATTCATATATTAATATATCGATTTCTTTAATCAACTTTCGATTTCTTTAAAAAACATTAACATTTAAGAACTAATCAATAGAAAAAATGCAAATAAACAAAAAGTAAACATATTTAATTAAAATAAAACTTTAACAAACATTCTCTATTCGTAAAAAGCAAATTTAAAGTTAATTAAATTTTAAATTATGAAATTTAATTGCAAACAAATAAATGATTAATTATTGCTGCGAACTAATCTACAATATCATTTAAATTCTGAGAGCATATATAAATTACGTGAAAGTATCAAAATCCATGAATAAATATATAATTCCAAAAAATTTTTAATCCTAAAAAAAAATTTTTTTAAAATGTATAAGTGTGAATAATTGTTGAGCAGGCAGGAGACAAACTTATCAAGGGAAGTTGCCTCCAAACCTAACTCTTCAATTATTCAATTCGTGTTTCGTCATCCATGTATTCAGAATTTAAATGATATTGCAGATTAGTTCGCAGCAATAATTAATCATTCATTTGTTTACAATTAAATTTCATAATTTAAAATTTAATTAACTTTTAAATTTACTTTTTACGAATAGAGAATGTTTTTAAATTCAAATTTCATTACTTAAATCAATGCGCAAGAGAATTATTTAAATTTAATTTAACTTAATGTTTATTAAAAGTAAAACTATTATTTAACTAAAATATTTATTCTTTTTAATTAAAATAAAAATGTATTTTTTATTCACGAGAGATGCCTTTGACAAGAATTTTTATGTCTGTTATGGAACTTGAAGGGCATCAAAAGAACTTTTGAAATCTGCACTGAGATTGAACTTATTGAGATCTGTAGTTTTCAAAGCTTTATTTTTTTTATATGAGATAAGGTTGGTTTGTTTGTAAAAAAAAAAAAAAAAAAAAAAAAAAAAAAAAAAGATCTAAAATGAGAAAAGATATATATATTTTTTTTACTTTTCAAACGAAAATATCAAATGCTCCTCAGCTGACTACCTCCTATCCAACCTTTTTCACATTTTAAATGATTTTTAAAATTATTTGGATGATTACTCCAGGAACCAAACCTTTTTTAGTAAGATCGGTCAAAAGTACGCAATTTGTCTAGTAATTTAATGAAAAAAAAAAAAAAAAAAAGAAAGAAAGAAAAAGAAAGACATGAAAGAAAAATAAGATATTTACACCAGTTTTTTTTTAATAATATTGTAATTATTTAGTAAAATCATATCTTCTTCTATAATGCATACCACATTACTTCATTTTGTTTAAATTGTAGAAGATATTAAAGTTAAGTAAAAATTTCAAATTACCTTCGAATGCCACTTCCAGATACTTTTACAACAGGTAAACGAGTAAACAAAAAGTTAACATTTCTAGTCTCCTCTCCTGAAATTAAGCTCAAACTCTATACATAACTGTAAATAAATTAAATGAATATTGTAGAAAAAGTAGAAATCTTCTTCATTAAAATTTCTGAATTTATGTGTTCATTGATACTGGACTATCAAAAATGCAAATTGTGTGTCTTTCAAATTGCAAATTCATAGATATGCAAGAAATTCATATTATATTTAATTGTAGGGAGTTATGAAACTAGCATTATTTTCAGTCATAAATGTAAAGACCTACATTCATTTAAGTCAATCAGAGTTTTACGTCTGCTTTCTAAACATTTGTCAATAAAATAAATATAACTCAAATATTTTTGTATACAAATCAGAAAGACCTTACACAGAGATGTAACCAGATAGCCATTATCTATACTGTTTTAATGATTTGAAGCATCATAATATGCATTTTTGTAAGACTCATTTGATAACACTGTAGTTAGCTAGGTCATTAGTGAAACAATCATAGATGACTCAATGCTAAAGAAAAAGATGCAAGAATTCTGAATACAGTTGAGAAAATTCATAATTATCTGATTGTTTTATAATTCTACATTTCCTATGAGCTATAATTTTTATT